CGCCTCTCATTTCTTTTCTGCCAAACAGCACAGCCTCTCTCTCCACTGATCTCCTCTATAACCCTCCCACATCACTCTTTTTGTTTATCTATTTTTATTTATTTATTCTTTGGCCAGCCACACAGCATATGGGATCTTAGTTCCCCAACCAGGGATGGATACCCCCACCGCAGTATTCCTGCATTGGAAAGCACACAATCTTAAACACTGGATGGCCAGGGTAGTCACCCAAATCACTCTTTTTAAAACATAGATCAGATCATGTCACTTCTTTCCTAAAACCTGGGGTTTCCCTTTGCACTCAAAATAACATTTAGGTCCTACCATGCTCCTGCAAATGGCATTGTATTTGTGTATGTATAACTGATAGGCTTCCCGGTTTGTGCTAGTGATAAAGAAACCCGCCTGTCAATGCAGGAGACTTAAGGGACATGGGTTCGATCCCTAGGTCGGGAAGATCCCCTGGAAGAGGAAATGGCAACCCACTCCAGTATTCTTGCCTGGAGAATCCCATGGACAGAGGAGCCTGATGGGCTATGGTCCGTAGGGTCGTAAAAGAGTTAGAAATGACTAAAGAGACAGCACACATGTATGTATAACCGATTCACTTTGCTATATAGCAGAAACTATCACAGCATTGTAAATCAATTATACTCCAATAAAAATTTAAAAAATAAAAACAACATCTAAACCTCCACCCTGGTTTCCAAGGCCATGTGTGACCTGATCCTGCCTGTAATGCTGACCTCATCATCTCCTTTTCTCTCCATTGCTAAGTCACAGCCACCAAAAGTCCTCCTTACCATCACTCAAACATGCCAGACTCACACCTGCCGCAGGGCCTTGGCATATGCTGTTCCATCTGTTTGCAACATTGGTTCCCCTGAGCTGGTTCCTTCGGAGTAGTCAGTCTCAGCTCACTCATCACCTCACTGGCCATCCTATTGAAAGCAATTCCCACTGTGTGCATAAGTGCTAAGTTGCTCAGTTGTGTCTAACTCTTTGCAACTCCATGGGCTGTAGCCCACAGGCTCCTCTGTCCACAGGATTCTGCAGGCAAGAATACTGGAGTGGGTTGCCATGCCCTCCTCCAGGGGATCTTCCTGACCCAGGGATTGAATCCTCATCTCTTAAAGTCTCCTGCACTAGCAGGCGAGTTCTTTACCACTAGGGCCACCTGGGAAGCCTTTCTTTCTCACCATATAAAAGATTTGTATCTATTCTTTTTTATCATTCTTCTCCTTGCTCATGGACAGAAGCTCTATGAGGGTAAGGGCTTTTTCTGGCTTGGTCATTGTTCTAACTTCAACACCAAAAATGCCACTTGGCACTCAGTAGGTGCTCAAAATATTGATAGATGTGATGAATGAATGACTGGAGGGTGGCGTCTTCAAAGTGCAGAATCTTAGAACTCTGAAACCTCGGAAGCAGGGAATTCTGGGATCCTGGACCCGGCAGATCATCTCACTACAGAGTGGCTCCGCTCACAGCCTCCCTGGATCCTCAGACACAGCACGGGGGCTGGGAAAAACCCACCCCACCCCAGCCCTGTTTTGCTGTTGTCCAGATGCTAAGTCGTGTTCTCCTCTTTGCGACCCCAGGGACTGCAGCACGCCAGGCTTCCCTGTCTTTCACTATTTCCCCGAGCTTGCTCAAACTCATGTCCATTGAGTCGATGATGCCATCCAACCAGCTCAGCCCCTGTCACCCCCTTCTCCTCCTGCCTTCTATCTTTCCCAACATTGGGGGCTTTTCCAGGAAGTCAGTTTGTTGCATCAGGTGGCCAATGTATTGGAGCTTCAGCCTCAGCATCAGTCCTTGCCGTGAATATTCAGGCTTGGTTTCCTCGGCGCTGATTGCTGGAGGACAAAACTGAAACAGAGGCCAAGGAGGGGGTGGTGGGGGGACCCACTGGCAGATCAAGATGCCAGTCTAGCCAGCCCACCGGTGGTCCCTTAGAGGACAGTGGGGGGTGGGGGGCGAGCTGGGCTGCTGGGTGGGGGCGGCGATGAGAGCCTGCAAAGCGGTTCCCACCCAGGCCACCCTCCTCCTCCTCCCCAGCGGCCAGCCTTGGTGGGGGTGGGGGGGACGGCCGGGGCCTGAGCCCCAGATGTGGCCCAGTCAGCAGGCCCGTGGTGGCCCGCCGAGGAGGGTCAATGCCACGACAGTTCTGGGACTGGGGGAGGGGGTGCCCAGGCCGGCGGGCACCTCACAATGAGGTTTTGTCCCCCGGGGGCCGCTCTCCGAGCTGTTGCTCTTAGATATATAGAAATGGATTTTGCTGGAGGCCCCAGCTGTGTGTGCTGACCGGCGCTCCCCCCGCAGGGGCCCGACTGAGGGAGGGAGAGGGCCACACTGAGACGCCTATTCTTTTCCAGCTGATACACCCCAGAGGTTTTTCCCCCTCTGCAGCCTCCCTTAAGACAATTGTTATTCTCTGCTCTGCCCCTTCCCCCACCCGGGTCAGGCCCGCCCCGCGGACAAAGTAGACACCCGCCTACGCCGAGTGATTTTTTAAAATGAATTTATTTTAGGAGTTGCCCAGGACCGCCTGGAAAATCAGCTTCTTTATAAGCCTCCCCCATCCGCAGGTCTTCCTGCCACATCCCACGCGGTGCCCAAAAAGTCTACCGTTAGGAGGCGGTCCCCATCCGCAAGTGATGCCTTACCCTGGCAGTGGGTGGGTGGGGCTATGCGTATTTCGTCCCCAGCACCCAAGTCCTCAGGCTGGGTTGTTGGGTCTTGGTGCATGAGCCTTGAAGATGCTTGTGGTGGGATGGGGCTTCCTGTTCACCTCATGGGAGCTGACCTCGCTCAGGGGGTTCTAGTCCTGCTGTCTCCCCTGACTCCACTAAACCACTGAGCAAGGGAGCAGTGGTCCCCTGGAATCTTCATCTCTGTGCTGGGGGACTAGGGTGGCTGAAAGGTCCCAGACTCCAGGGCTCAGCGAAGAGTCAAAGCTGCCACCTTCCAACTCCATAATGAAGGAGGTTGAGGCTGGTGAAGGATCCCCAGAGAGCCTTGCGTAAGCAGGACCTTGAGGGAACCCCTCCGTGGAGAGGAGTCCCTGCCAGTACCCCCTCCTCACCACACCACACGAGTAAGGGACCAAGATTTCCGTTCTGGCCCATCAGACATAGCTGTCCCTGGGGCTGGCTCAACCATTCTGCAAGGCCTGTCCTCTGCACCTTCATCTCTGAGTCAACCCATTATTCCCACCTCACGGTGTAGGTTAAGTACCAGGGAGGTGATTGATAAATGAGGCTTTCTCTGATTCCAGGTCAGAGCCCAGCGCTGGCCCTTGAGGGGGCAGTCGGGTCAGGAAGAGGCAGCCACTCAGCAGGCAACCCTGGGGAGAGGGAGGCAGGGACATGAGCATTAATGAGTAACGGGCTGGAGGCTGGCCCAGGGGAGGGTGGAGTGCTGTGGGCAGAACCCTCCCTGCTGCAGCCTGCAGGACTCCGGGCCTCCTGTGGACTCAGACAGCCCTTGGCACCTGCCCACTTTGCAGAGGAAGAGAGGAGGGCCCAAAGGGTGGTGAGCGTGAACCCAGGGAGTCAGCGAGCGAGGGGTCCTGCAGAGTCACCTCTCTCTCCCACCTCCCTCCCAGCTGAGACGGGACAGGCCATCCGGGGGTGCTGAGTGGGGTCTGGGAGGCAAGGCGCTGCTCCAGTCCTTCCCCCAGTCGCTCCTCATGAGAGCCTTTCCCCGTTCCACACTCTGGCTGCGTGACCTCAGGCAAGTCACAGAACCTCTCTGATCCTCAGCTTCTGCTCCTGCTCCCCTAATAAGACAATTTGCAAACCAAATGAGACCACAAGGTGTGAAGAGCCTCTGAAAACCATTAGGCGAGGGTGGAGGCCACCATCCGGGGCTGGGAAGGCCTGGATTTTAGTCCTAAATCTGTCCCTGGGCCTGAGCGCCCTCGAGAAGATTTCCACCCTTATGTAGCCTCCGCTTCCTCTGTTCAAAGAGGCCTGGGGGAAGACAGAACCACTCTGTCACCCTCCGCAGCCCCTCAGTCTGCGCTCAGAGCTGGGAGCGTGGGCAGTGTGGGGAGGGGAAGGTCCAGGTCTGGTCAGACCTTGGCTGGTCCATGCCCGGGCGGCGCTGGTGCAGGTCCCCTCGGGACTGGCTGGAGGAACAGCGCCATCTGCTGCGCGGAGGGGGCAGACCTGGGCACCGGGCTGGCAGGAGGCCTGGCCGCCAGCCCACCCTGGCCTTGCAGCCACTCCTCAGGACTCACTGGCCGGGGGCCAGGCTGGAAGGGGGTCCCTGGGCCTGACCATGGCTTTTGCACCCTCCCTAGGGAAGGTGGGCTAGGAGGTCTCCATGATGGGAGATCTTGAGTTCCGGTCTGAGTGCTGCCAAGATGGGCTTCCCTGGTGGCTGGGACAGTAGAGAATCTGCCTGCAACGTGGGAGACCTGGGTTCGATCCCTGGGCCAGGAAGGTCCTCTGGAGAAGGGAATGGCTACCCACTTGCCTGGAGAATCTCATGGACAGAGGAGCCTGGCGGGCTACGGTCTATGGCATCACAGAGTCAGACATGACTGAGCTACTAGACACTTTCACAGGGAAGCTCTCAGCAAAGACTTCCAGTGGCCCCTGCATCCCAGTGCTACCCAGATCAGGAGATTTAGTGCCCTCACCAACCGGCCACCCCCTACCCCTGGCTTCCAGCAGTTGGGGTCGGAGTGGGGGAGGGCAGGCACTGTCAGACCTGCCAGGGGGAAGAACGGGCCCTAACAAGGTCAGACAGATCCCCTGGCATGTGTCTGACACAGGCAGGGCCCAACAAGGAGCTGCCCCCATTCAAACGGGGCTTCAAGTGTTTTCTGGTCTCTCACTGCGACTCCGAGGGTGGTCCTGGACCAGGGCATTGACAGTGGTGACAGCTGACCTCAGGCTGGGGTGGGGGGTTCCCCTCCCACCACTCTGCCACTGAGATCCACCCCCACCCAACCTGCAGGCAAGAGAGGTCACTCCAGGCAGCCAGCGTGCTTCTACATCCAGTTTATACACAGCTCTATACAATATACAGAAACCTTTATATACAGATATATTTATAGAATAAGCTATATTAATTTGTCTCTCCTTTTTACAGCAATATTAGTTTGGATCTTTCATACATTAGGTACAAAAAAAGTCATGGGAGGATGGCACGAACAGTGCATGAGTGTCTGTGGCGCCCAGCTCTCACTACTGATTGCATATGGAGGTCGCCCAGGCCCCTGGGAGGACGGGCTAGCGCCGTCCGGGAGACCTTGTGCTGCGGGTCTGGGGGACAGAGTGGGGGGTCTGTCTGAGCCGAGCTGGGCTGAGGGGGGTGGCTCAGACCCCCCCGAGTGTGGTGCGTGGAGGAAGGGAGACACACGCAGCAGGCCCATCCTCCAGGGGCGAGGTGGGGAGGGGGTGGGCTGACCCGGGGGCGTCCAGGGCTGAGTCCGAGCCTGCCCCAGCCCCAAGCCTGCCAACCTGTGCGGCTGCAGCCTTGGGGGTGGGGAGTCTGTCCCTGATGGCTCAGTCCCGGGCATGGGTGGGCACCACGCCCCCTCAGAAGTCCCAGGCCCACCCTGGTGGAGGAGGAAGTAAAAGGCCAGATTCCAAGCCCCCCTGCTATTGGCTGGGGTGCTAGTTGGAACTTTACTCTGATTTATGATTTGTCTTTTTTTTTTTTTTAACTCTAAGAGCCACTGATTCCATCTTGCTTCTGTGCAGGGGGGCGGTGGGGGGGCAGCCAGCAGGGGCAGGAGATTGATGAGGGTGGGAGTCACAGAGGGTGAGGGAGGCCCAGCTCCCAGGTCTCTGTCCCCATGTGGTAGGGTGGGCAGGGGTCCCAGATAGCAGTGATCGTGAGATGGGGGTCTTGGTGAGGGAAGCCCTAGGCGACCCAGGGAGGCCGTGGGTGGGCCCAGAGTAGGGGGGACCATGCCTCCGAGGAGATGAAGGCACAAGCAGGCGGTCAACACCTCGGCACACACCCGTCTTCCAAACCAGGGGTCAGAGTGGCCGGCGAGACGAGGGGGGGACCGTGTGTCAGAAGTTGAGCTCATCCCATGGCCCCCACTGCATGGCGCCCCTCATGTTCGCTGCCTGCTGTTTCGGCAGGCCGAGGTGGGGGCCAGAGGGCAGACGGGGCGGGGAGGGCGCTCCAGCCACCCCCCTGACCCTGTCCTCAGGGATGGCACACACTCATGCACATGCACACACACACACCCCCACCCCAGCATGCACCACCCCCCTGCTGGGCCTCCAGGGACAGGCAGGGTCTCCACGCCATCCCCTATGGTTCCCCAACCTAGTAGGAAAGGCGCCCCTCCAGTGGAGGCCTCAGGCTAAGCCCCTGGCCCTCCCGGGTCTCTAGCCAGGTCCCACAATACCCTACTCTCGGCCCCACTTCCTGACAACAGGACATGGCGGGTGGGAGGGGAGAGAGCCCAGCTCCCAGGAGAAAGCCCAGGGCCGGGGGCAACGAGTGGGAGCTGCGGGGAGCAGAGGCTTGTTTGGTTTCAGATCCCAGGGCCTGGAGTGCCGAGGCCTGGGGGAGGTGATTAAAAGGGGGGGTGGTGGTAGTGGGGCCTTCCTTCTGCCCAGGGCACTGAATCTGCAGCCAGGGCTTTTCACACCTGTGCCCTCCACCCTTTGAGTGGCCAGGATCCTGGGGGTAGAAGGCAGGCCAGGAAGGAACGGGCTGGCAGGGCAGGCAGGCCCGGGTACCCGGGACCCATCGACAGAGGGATCACCGTGAGGGACATCAAGCAGATGGATGGGCCACCTCCAGGCCCCATGGCTGCTGTGGGCCCTGTGGAGGCTGGCCCCTGCCTGCTTAGAAAAGGGCGGCTGAACACACGATTGCAAGGGCGAGGGGGGCTTGCAAGCCCAGGACACATCCTGAGCCCAGCCCAGCAGCTTCTGTAAACATACATGGCACTGCGGGCCACCTTGGTTGGGGGGGGGGTCACCCCCAGGGGGCTTGCCAGCAGGCACCAGATCTCGGGGTGGCCAGGGCAGGTGCAAGCCTGGACCACAGATGAGAATATGTGGGGAGGGGGCCGCTCTCCATCTCGGCCCTGGGAGAGTAGCCAGAGGGCAGTGATGGGGAGTCAGCATACTCATGGACTGTCCCGGAATAGGGGGTGCCAGGATGCCCCTGCAGGGGAGCAGTCAGGCTGGGAGGGCAGAGTGCAGCCCTGCCCCACCCCTGGCAGGCTGTCCCTGCAGCCTCCTCCCTGCTCACGGCCCTCCCTGTCATTCCCTATCTGGAGGGCCCAGATCCCAGCTGCCTTGGCTCCAGGGGGGTCCTAAGCTGAGGTAGGGAGGCGGACCCCCCAGCTCAGCAGCAGTGCTCAACGCCTGAGGCGACACATGCCCAGGAGGGGCCTCTCCCTAAAGCTGCCCGGCCTGAGGGGCAGCCACCAGGAGCCCGAAGGAGCCACCTGCTCTGGCCTGGGCCAAGGTCGGTAGCGACTCCTGGGTGCTGCTAGCGTGCCGAGATGACCAGGTCGTCCTGCTTGGTGGGGCTGGCCCCGCGGCCGGCCTGGGTAGAAGTCCGGACCTTGTCCACCGCCAGGCATTCCTGGCTGCTGAGGCCCGTGGGGGTCAGGTCCATGAGCTCGCCCGAGGAGCTGAGTGGGAAGGAGGGTGACAGCGAGATGCCCGAGGAGGGGTCGGCCGAGCCGGCGAAGAGCCGCGGGGGCTTGGGCACCAGATTGGGCTCGAACTGGGCTCGGAGCAGGATCTCCTGCTGGCTGGGGGACTTGGGGCCCTCGGCGTAGTCGCTGGTGGGGCTCTCCGGCACCACCATGCAGTAGAGGTCCTGGAAGGAACTGCTCTTGCTGTCCAAGTTGAAGAGGCTGTCGATGAACTCGGCGAACTCTAGCACCTGCGGGCTGGGCGAGTCCCCCAGGCGCCTCTCCTGCAGCGCCAGCTCTCCGCTGCGGGGGGCTGCCCCCCCGCCCCCTTCCTCCGGCTCCTCGTTGGCCGCCGCGCTGGGGGGCCGCTCGGGGGTGACGCCCCCGCTGCCCAGGGCGGCCTCCAGGGGCTGCGTGTCCTGCGAGTGCTTGGACAGGCTGTCGGCCGCCAGCAGCTCGGTGCGTGAGCTCAGGGACGGGTTCTCCTCGGGGATGGCCGGGTCGATGTAGAAGAGGTGGCCCTCGTCGCGCTCCAGCACGGCGTGGAGGCTGGGCGAGCCACGGATGCTGCGGAAGCCGGAGGAGCGGCGTGAGTCGAAGCTGTACAGAGACTCCGTGTCCGACAGGCTCTCCATGGTGGCCAGTGGTGCCCGCCGCGCCTGCAGCTCGGCCGCCAGCCGCTCCTGGGTGGACAGCAGCAGCAGCTCCACCGGGTCCTGGCGGGCCGCCGAGGCCGCGGCCACGGGGGAGAGCAGCCGCCCCTCCGAGAAGCCCTCCAGGCTCATCTCAGACTGGGACTTGCTCCTGCAGCGGGGGAGGGCAGGGAAGGGTGAGACTCAGAGGGGCGGGGAGACCCACCCCCAGCTCCTCTAGCTGGAGGGAACTTGGGGAGGGGAGGAGAGGGAGGTAGTTGAACGGTCTGGGGACAGGGAACCTTCATTTTTTAAACCAGCTCAGGAGACCCCAAGATAGAAGACAGGAGGGTCAATGCAGGGCTGAGCAGGACAGCGGTGGGCGGGGGACACTGGTGCCATTGTCCCTACCAGGAGACTGAGGCCCAGAGAGACTGGCTGCCCCAGGTCCCTGCAGGCAGAGGTGAAGGGGAGAGAGGGAAGGGGGGAAGGCAGGGAGGGAGGCGGCACAGCTGAGAGCCGCATCCACCAGGCCAGCACCCAGAGGGGGTCCCTTCCGAGCTGCTGTTACTTCCTTCCTCACCCTGGGGTCCCTCCCACCTCTCCCAGGGGGTGTAGCCTCTGCTGGATGCGGCCCTGGAGCCCCGGGCTCTGCACACGGGCCTGCAGGGAGTGAATGAAAGTCCAGGGACGGGGAGGCAGCGGTTACTGTGGCTGCACAGACACTGGCTCCCCCGTCTGGTCAGCAGCAGGGAGAGACGTCCAAGTGTGCCTGCCAAGGGCCGGGAAGCCACCAGCACCCTTCTCAACTGCCCCTGGGCCAGATTTGTCACCAGGACCCAGGACCTGGGAGGGAAGGGTCCCAGGGAGGCAGGAGGAGCCCCATCCACCTCAAGAGCCACAGCCTCAGAGGCCCCAAAGGGTGTGTATGAACGCAGGGTGTGTGCGCACACCTCTGTTTGTGTGCAGCATGCGTTGCGTGTCAGCCGGTCCAGGCATCTGAGTGGCTGGGTCTGGGCACAGTGCATCCCTCATTTACATGCATGGCTGCCCGTGCAAGCATATACCTGTGTTCGTACAAGTGTGTTGGCTGCTGTCTTGGTGTGTGTTCTATATGTGAGTCTGTATGCGGCTCTGCACACTCAGAGCTACTATCTGTGAACACAAGTATATACACACGTATGCTTTAATACATGATGCAAAGAGCCGACTCACTGGAAAAGACCCTGAAGCTGGGACAGATTGAAGGCAGGAGGAGAAGGGGACAACAGAGGATGAGATGATCGGATGGCATCACTGACTCAATGGACATGAGTTTGAGCAAACTCTGGGAGATGGTGAAGGACAGGGAAGCCTGGCGTGCTGCAGTCCAGGGAGTCAGGAAGAATCAGACACGACTGAGCAACGGAACAACAAATGTGTGTGTGTAAGTGCATGGGTGTCCACCTGTTCGGGTCTAAACAGTTAATGAGTGAATCTGTGTTTGTGACTGGGGGTGTGTGTATTCCTAGACTCCCACTGGCCCACATGGGCTTCAGTGGTGGCAGGCTGAGGGGCAGTGGGGGGCAGAGCAGGAGTGACCCCAAACAAGGGCAACCCCTCCTGTGCATGCATACAGAGCTGTGTGAACATACGGAGGGCCCCGGGTGTATATACGAAGGTCCACAAGCATTCACGCTCTGAACGCACACTTGGGGCCCCTGCACGCACTCCCTGGGGCGGGGAACAGCACTGACCTGACGCTGCTGTTCCGGTGGTCTGCAGCGGGCAGCTCCAGGGCCAGGCCAGCAGGCACAGGTGGCCCCGTGGGCAGCGGCTGCTGCTGGAAGATGAGCTCGGGGGTCAGGTCCACCTCCGTGGGGCTCACCATGACCTTCGCAGCAGACAGCAGGGCCGTCTTCCCCTTGTTGTAGTTCTCCAGCACCTGGGGATGGGACGGGGAAGCCAGCAGTGGCCGAGGGGTGACAATCACAAGTGGGCGCGGGGTGGCAGGCCAGGCCTCTCAGGCCCGAGAGACCTTCATGGGGTCAGCTGGGCCCACTCTCCTTCCTGCCAGGCCCCCGCTCCTCCAGGAAGGCCAGGGACGGGCCCTGTGATGGAGCCTCGCCCCACACATGGGCCAGATTGGAGCTGCCCTGTGGTCGGCCGTTCTACAGCCAGGAGATGACCAAGGCAGCCCCTGCTTGGCTGTGTATCCGCCCAGCGCCAGGTGGCTTCGGGGTTTCTGAGCCCAGCCTGCCTCAGGGACAGGTCCCCATGCATCTTCTAGACTCTCCCACCCCAGGACCACACAGTGGTGTGGACAAAGCCGGGGTGTGGAGGCCAGGACACGAAGGGGCTCCCCGGCCCACTGGGTGTCCAGGGAGTGGACGCTTCTGCGTGTTGTGGCCCCCTTGTGTGTAATGCGGGGACGGCCCCGGCCAGCGGGGGCCGTGGCTCACCTTGTTGAGCCCCTCCATGACCACATAGGGGAGGTGTTCGTGCAGCATGGCCGGCGAGATGATCACCTCGTTGAAGGCCTTGTTGTCGCCCCAGATGGCGAAGTATGTGGGTTCCTCCTGCTCGCAGCAGCTGAGGGGTACAGGGGCCAGAGGGAAGCAGGGGTCGGGGGTGGGGGCGGCCTGGCCTTGGCCCCCTGGCCCTGCTCTCAGCCCTGCGTGGATTTGGAGACCCCTTGCCTGGTCAGGCCAGCCGGGCTGCGTCTCTGGGCTCCTCGCTCCCCACCCGCGCCAGGAACGCCTATGCCAAACGGAGCCAGAGAGGCTGACCGGGGGCCCCGTCCTGACCCTCACAGAGCCTTTGATCACAGAGCCGAGTTGTGGTCACGGCCATACCTGCTCCATCCCTGGGGCAGGGTCCCAGTTCACTCCTCTGAGAGATCAGAGTGAGGAGAGCGAGGTGGGAGAAGTCTCTCTGATGCCCTTCCTTTCCTCTCTCCTGCCCCCACCAGCTGATCCCAGCAGTGATGCCAACTGACAACTGAGGTGTGGGCCAGCCGGGGCCTTAGGGTGACCCTCCAGGGCATTTGCTTTTAAATAGACTCAAGTGGGGAGAGCTGTGCTGGGGGAACACCAGGAAGGGCTGATGCTGGGGGCATGGGCTGGCTGATCATTGCATGTCCAGGGCCCGAGACTGGGGCAGCCCCACGGTGGGGGCCCTGGGCCATCACTGCCCAGCCTTTGCGCCCTGCCCCGAGGGTGACCGAGTGAAGGTCGGCCCATCCCCTGCCCCCCTGCCCCGGCCGCTGCTGCCTCCCAGCTGCCTGGGTCACAGGCAGCACCTACCAGCACTGCTCCGCTGGGTGGTTGTGGACCACGTGGATGATGCGGCCGGGGGGGTAAAGGGGAGTGCTGGCCGACAGGGCGATGGTCAGGTCGCTGGGGTGAGTCCAGAGCCGCGTGCTGGCCAGCGTGGTCACCTCCACCTCCTCGGGCAGCTCTGACTTGGGGATGCATTTGGTGGCCCCCACAATGATTCGCCACTGTGGGGACAGGGGGAGGGGGGGTCAGGCCTGAGCAGCGCTGGCCAGCTGGGGAAGTGCTCAGAAGGAGGGTTCACAGGGACGGGGGAGCTGGGAGGGGGCAGGGGAAGGGCAGCGCCCAGAGAAGAGGCCGGGGCTGGAGTGCTTGGCAGCCACGATGGCCAAAAGGTGCCAGGGACAGCTGGCGTGGGATGGCTGGATTTTGGGACTGCAAGACCAGTCAACCCCTTGTGGAGTGATGAGAAACATGCCCAGTGAAGGAAGGGGACTTGCTCTAGGCTGTAAGTCAGAGGCAGAATAGACCCTGAAGCTCAGGTCAGCTGCACCCACTCGGCCAGGTCAGCGTCAGGTGCCCCCACTGCCTCCTGGGCCAGACGAGCGCCTGGGAGGGGCAGCTCCACATCCTGGAACCAGGCCCCTCCTAAGGCTCTGTTGCCTGCCCACCCTGGCACCTGGCACCTGGCCCAGCGCCCTGCCTGCCAGAGGGTCCTGGGCACCAAGGCTGGGAATGGTCCCACCTGGGCTGAGAAGGTGAGTGGAGAGAGGGCCGGCCTGGGGACACAGAGGCCCTGCCTGCCTCGGGGAGCCTGGCCGCAGCCTGCCCACCCCCGGCCTAGCACGCTGAAGGCCAGCTTGCTACAGGAGGAGCCTCCAGTGTCCCACCCTACACAGGCCTGAGCAAGGGCGTTAGGAAGGGCCGGCTCTCTCCTCTCAGCTGCAGGCAAAATCAGAACCCACTGCCCCCAGGTCCCCTCTGCAGGTGACCTCCAGCCTCCCTAAGCCTGGGGGATCGCGGGGGGCTTTGGAGGAAGACTTCCAGTCACATGGGACCACTGAACCTCGGGACTGCTTTGGCCTGACTGTAGGTGGCTCTGGGCCCAGGGGCCAGGACTCAGGAGTCCTCAGCTCCAGTCCTGACTTTGTTACAACTGTCTGTGTGAGCAAAAGCGAGTCCCTTGCCCACTGTGGGGCTCAGTTTCCCCATCTGCACAAGGACAGACAGGGGGCAGCTGGGGAGAGCACAGAGATGCTGAGAGTCTAAGAGCCTGAGGTCCCCGAAACACCAGCCACACCCCCAGTCTGGCCTCCCGTGGCGGGGGCCCCTGTGCTTTGCGCCATGGGACCCATGGGCCAGGAGGAGGTCGGGGAGACCAGAGCCCTGGCTGCCCAGGCGGGAGAGAGGTGAGTGAGCTCACTTTGGGCTTCGTGCTTCGTTGCAGGACATCCAGGAGCTGTCTGCGGAAGCCTTCCAGCTGGGAGAGGCCGATCCTAGGGGAGAGAGCAAGATGGAATGTCAGCCGGGGCTGGCCAGGGATGGGGAGGTGGGGGTGAGGGGCAGCTGGAGCCCCAGGAACAAGGAGACCAGTCCATCAGGGTCATGGGGTGGGTGGAGCAGGGCCTGCAGCTCAGCAGGGCCCAGCCAGGAAGCGGGGCCAGGGAGGGCGGTGGGGCAGGCCGGGCCCACCCTCTCCTCTCACCCTGGACACGAGTGAGGGGGATTCTGGGGTCCCTCGAGGAGGTGGCAATCTCAGTGAGAAAGATGGGCCTCCTGGGTGAGGGCTGAGGGGGAGGACAGCCCAGACCAGGCTGGGGGAGAGAGGGACCCACTTGCCTGGGAACAAGGTCTTTGCCCAGAACCACAGCCGTTACAAACTCCTTGGAGTACTCCATGGCGTCCTCGCTGCAAGGAAAGCCGAGGGGTGCTAAGGCCGCGGAGGGGTGCAGTGTGTCCCTGGGGGGCTCTGCTCCAGCACTCCTGGAGGCAGTCTCTTGACTCGAGACCCTCTGGGGGGAGACTTCCCTGGTGGTCTGGTGGCTAGGACTCCACGCTCCCAAGGCAGGGGGCCTGGGTTTGATCCCTGGTTAGGGAACTAGGTTCCACAAACGGCAACTACAAAGATCTCACAGGCCACAAGGAAGAGCAAAGACCTCGAGTGCCACACCTAAGACTTGGCACAGCCAAATAAAGAAATTAAAAGAATAAAAGACCCCGTGGGGAGTGGGGCTGGGGTCCCTGCCCCGCCTACCCTGTCAGCAACACTTTGCTGGGGCTGGATCCCAGGGTGGGCCTGGTATTTGACAGAGCGCCCACTTCCACCCTCCAGGCCATCCCTAGATTCCCTGATGACCAGATACCAGTCTGCCCAGTGCAGCCCCCGGCCCAAGCCAGCTCCCCTCACCATCCACCCTTTGCCTTACCAGCCCCAGCCAAGTCTGGGGCCCTGGACCACTTACCTCAGCAGGCCCCCTGGGGGGGAGTAGGCAAAGCACTTGAGGGTTGGGTACTGGGGTCTCAGGAGGAAGGAGAGGATGGCAGCAGTGCCCGCGCCCAGGGAGTGGCCCACCACAATCAGGCCGTAGTGTTTGGTTCCGCGGCCCTGGGGGCAGAGAGAAGCCCTGAGACGCCTGACCTGCTGCTGCCAGGCTGACCCCAGGGAGGCAGAGGGTGCTTCCCAGAGCCCTGGGATCACGTCTGTGTTGTGTTGGGCAGGGGAAGAGCCAAGCTAGACACCCAAGGAGCAACTTCTCAGACTATTTAACAAACTCCTACTCATCCTTCAAAACCTTGCACAGAGGCGACCTCCTTGGAGAAGCCCTTCCTGATTTTCCAGGATGCGCCTGCACCTGGGATTGTTGCTGTTGTTCAGTCAGTAAGTCATATCTGACTCTTTGCGACCCCATGGACTGTAGTCCGCCAGGCTCCTCTATCCCTGGGGTTTCCCAGGCAAGAATACTGGAGTGGGTAGCCATTTCCTTCTCCAGGGGATCTTCTTGACCCAGGGATCAAACCTGGGTCTCCTGCATTGACAGGTGGATCCTTTACCTCTGAGCCACCAGAGAAGCCTGCCCCCAGGACAGACCTTTATATGGGTGATTATGCTCTATTATGACCATGTGGTCACCTGCTCCCATCCCTGGACCTGCTCCCAACAGCTGGACCAGGTCTCCTGAGCCCAGGGACGGCTTGACTGTGGGAAGGGCAGTTGGGAGCCTCTTGGGAGCTGCCTGCCTGCACAGGGAGGGGTGGGCAGTGGGCCGGGCCCAGATCACCCCATCCACAGCAGCACCCCTTCTATCTGCTTTGCAATCACGTTCTGTGTTCTTTCTGCTCAGCATCTCAGAAGCTCCGGACCTGAGCCACCTTTGTGCCTCAGCTGCCCGGCACTGAGCAGGTGCCCACCACCCGGGTGGGGCCAAGCAGAGGTGTCCAAGAGGAGCTGGTACAAAAGAAGAAAGGGCCAGAGGGGGTGGGAGGGACGGAGCAGTGAGGAGAGGGCTGGGGGCCTGGGATGGAAGGAGAGTTTCCGAGTCTGGCTTGTGGGGGGCGGGCAGGGTTGCGTCATCATTCACCCATTCTGTCCCCAACCTGTCGCCTTGCGGGAGGGCTTGCAGTATGAAAAACCCCTCACCAGGTCTCGCCCGAAGGCCTGGGACAGGACCATCTCCTGCTCCAGCTTCTTCTTGATGTACTCGGCTGAGAGGACCATCCCCTGGGTGAGGAGGGACAGAGGTGGGTGTCACTATCATGGGGAGGCAGGGGGGCCCGTCAGGGACCAGTGAGGTCAGTGATGTGAAGCTCACCAACCCCGTCCCACCCATGTCCCCCTTGGGTCCTCAGGACAACCTGGCTGTGGCGGGGAGGATGGGGGGTGGGCTGGTGGACACTTGGTCACATTATTTCCATTTCACAGATGAGAAAACTGAGGCTCAGAGGGATTGTGGGTCTAAGAGGAACCAGTGAGATCCCTTCTCCATTGCCTCCTTGAGCTCTCTCTTGTGGGGCAGGGTCTGGGCTGCACAGGGCTGCGGGGTTCCCGGCCGGTGGGGGGCAGTGGACCTTCCAGACTGATCCACACCGCTCTGACCATCTCTCTTGGTGAGAGGAGTGACTCTGGAGGAGCCCCCGTCCCAACCGCGGGCCAGGCCTGCCTGCTGGCAGCAGAGAGGAGGAGCCTGGGGTCCACTGGGGGCCCACGAGAGGAGGGGGGTACCTTATGTCCCAGCCAGGTGCCGTGGTGGCCCTCCACGGGGAGGCGCTCGGCGTCACCAGTCAGGTCTGTCAGGGCGTCCTAGGGGGCAGGGAGGTCAGTGAGGCGTGGGGCTGAGAACAGGGAGAAGGAGGTGGGTGCTCCCCCAGGGGCTATGAGGGGGCCTGGGGGGTGGGCAGGGTCACTGGGCGGCGTACCTTGGGGGACAGTGTTCCCCGGATACTGATCACCACCTTCTTCTTGTCGTGGTCCACTGCCACATAGAAGGGGGTTTCATAGACCTGGGAGAAGGGCAGCTCGTGAGCCTCAGTGGCCCCTGGGCTGGGGCCAGATGTGGGGAAGTGACGGAAGCAGGTTTCCTTCGGGGCCCAGGAGTCTGGCTCCACTGGCCCCTGAGGCCTGCAAGGGTCACAGTAGGTCCCTCCCAGCCTGCCCTGCCCTCCCACCTCTGCTGACTCGGGCACCCTGAGTACGAGGTCCTGCCTGCCCGGTCCGAGGGGCTGCCCTCTCCCCTCCTGAGTGCCTCTCCGTGTCCCTCAATTCCTTCCCCCTAAGGCTGGAGCCAGGAAGCCACAACAGTGGGTGCAGGGCTGGGGTTCACATCCGAGCCCCAGAGTGGGCCCAGGCCAGGATGTGGGGAGAAGGAGGCAGCCCAGCTCTGGCTCGCCCACCTAGGGGAGCCATGCCAGCCAGGCCAAGGGCTCCTGCCCCTGCGCAGAACCCAGGCTGCAGGGAGGCTGCGCACCAGCCCGCCTGGACCCTCACCGCATCGTGGCAGGAGGTGTAGACGATGTCCACTGCGGTCATGTTCTCGTCCAGGAAGTGGCGTCGAATGGCGATGGCGTTGCAGCCGCAGCAGTTGTCTTCCTCGATGGTGACTCCGGGGGCGAACCGGGGCCGGGCAGGACACAAGCAGCACCTGGGCGGGGGGCAGAGGGCTCAGTCCCCGATGGAGCCACGGTCTCCCCCATCCTCTCGGGAACCTGTTCTTGCAGCCAGCCCCATGCCCTCTCTGAAAGCCTCCCTTGCAAAGCTCTCCAGTCTGTTCTCCAGGCCTCGCCTTATTCGGCCTCTTGACAACACATGGCCCAGGGGGTCTCTCCCGCCCCACTTCACTCTCTCCATCTGGCAGAGGCACACCCCCTCCTGGACTGTTTGTTCTCGTCCGTGTCTTCTCACTGAGACCAGAGGTCATCCCTGGACCTCCTCTTCTTTCTAATGACATGAGCTCCCGGGGCCTTACCCAGTCTTGGGCTTTAAATACCACCTGAGTGCCAAAGAGCCCCCCAGACCCTGCTCACATTCAACCGCCCATGAAAACCCTCCTCCCAGATATGCCCCAGGATTGCAGTCCTCTCAGCTCCAGATCCCAGGGGCCTAGTCCCCTTGCTTCAACAATCCCCCTAACCCTAACCTGCCCCTGAGCACTCAGCCCACGCTTAGAACCACCGGTCCTCAACCCGCCTCATATCCCATATTGTCCGTCAGCACATCCATTAGCTGTGCCTTCAAATTCACATCCAGATGCCAAATGCTTTCCCTCACCTCTCCCCACCCCCCTGCCCCGCTCCAAGCCACCTTATCCCTGCCTCCCTGCCTCAGAGTGTCACGGGGGCTCCCAACTGGTCCTCCTCACTCACAGCCGCCCCTTACGTTCTCAGCCAGAGTGACCTTCTATGATAAAAGATGAGGCGGCGTCCCTGGTGGCTCAGTGGTAAAGAATCTGCCTGCCAATGCGGGAGACATGGGTTCGATCCCTGGTCTGGGAAGATCCCACATGTGTTGGACCAGCTAAGCCATGCATGAGCCGCAACTATTGAGCCTGTGCTCTCGAGCCGGGGAATTGCAACCATCGAGCCCACGCTCCGCAACAAGAGAAGCCACTGCAGTGAGAAGCTTGCACATGGCAAGCAAGAGTAGCCCCCACTCTCCCCAGCTACAGAAAAGCCCGTGCAGCAACTAAGACCCAGCACAGCCAAAAATAAATAAATAAAGGTATTTTTTAAAAAAGATATAAGATGAGCCACATCACTGCACTCAACACCTTCCAATGCTGCCCTTCCTGCCCAGTGTAAAGGCCAGAGTCCGAGCAAGCGCTGAGGGCCCAGCTCCATCTGGCCCCGTTCTCTGGCCTGTTGCCTCCCACTCCTCTCCGATGCACTGGTCATTCCTGCCTCAGCATCTCTGCACTGCGGTTCCCTCTGCCTGGAACATTCTCCTCCTGGACACTGTGTGGCTGGATCCCTCACTTCTTGAGGCCTCTGTGCAAAGTTTATACTGCTGTGAGATCCGCCTGGGGCCATCTCATATGACAGCTACCCCTTGCCCGGTGTTCCCCAGTTTGACCACACAGTCAGCTCAATTTTTCTCCAAAATACTCCTGCATTTCCTTGTCTGTGCCTCCCCAGCACCAAAAACACAGTTGTTGCTCAGTCGTTCAGTCGTGTCTGACTCTTTTCGAGCCCATGAACTACAGCACGCCAGGCTTCCCTGTCCTTCACAATCTCTCGGAGTTTGCTCGAACTCATGTCCACTTGAGTCGATGATACCATCCAACCATCTCATCCTCTGTTGCCCCTTTCTCCTCCTACCCTCCTCAGTCTTTCCTAGCATCAGCGTGTTTTCCAATGAGTCGGCTCTTCACACCAGGTGGCCAAAGTATTGGAGCTTCAGCTTCAGCAGCAGTCTTTCCAATGAATATACAGAGCTGATTTCCTTTAGGAGTGACTGGTTTGATCTCCTTGCAGTCCACGGGACTCTCAAGAGTCTTCTCCAGCACCACAGTTCAAAAGCATCAATTCTTCGGTGCTCAGCTTTCTTTATAGTCCAACTCTCACATCCATACATGACTACTGGAAAAACCATAGCTTTGACTAGATGGACCTTTGTTGGCACAGTAATGTCTCTACTTTTTAATATGCTGTCTAGGTTTATCATAGCTTTTCTTCCAAGGAACAAGCATTTTTTATTTCATGGCTGCAGTCACCATCTGCTTTCCTGATTTGATGGCTAAGATTTTACTAAGAATCCTAGATTTAGGTGATGTGGAGAGGTCTGTCTTCACTGCAGCAGCCCCTGGGGGACTGATGCAGACCTCCCAACGGAAAGAGGCCTCCACGGGAAAACCCAGGGTCAAGCCACGTCTTGGAAGTGAATGGGTCTGGGGTGGGCAACCACCTCCATTTACTCCGGGAGACCCCTACTTCCTCCCTTGCCACTACTGGTCCAAATGGACACAGCTCTGGGTCTGTGGGCCAGGCGCTCGTTTTCAGGCAGCTAGCACTCCTCTCCGATCTCAGCCTGGCCCCCCAGCACTGAGCATGTGACTGCCACGGTGTGGCCTGGGGAGACAGAGGCCTGGGCTGGAATCCTTGCTCTGGTGGCCCTTCCTGACTGTGATGGCCTGGCGGGGGGGCAGGTGCCAAGAGCTACTTCACAAGGCTGGGGTGAGATCAGAGGCCCAAGATGCACAAAGAGCCTGGCACACAGTAGGCACCAGGGAGACGGCAGCCCCCGAGTCAGTCATCTGGGGGCCTGGGGAACCATGAGAGCGGCAGGGCCAGCAGCCTGGGAGGGAAGGGCCCATGGCACCTTTGAGGCCAGCACTCCCACCTAGAGGAGGCTGGGTGCTGAGGGGCTCAGAGGCTGCGGGAGCCCTGAGCATTTGCTTGGCCTTTGGCAGGGCCTCTCCTGCCCACAGGAGACCAACCACACGTCCAGGGCAGGGCTGGGTCTGAATGGGGTGTCCCCAGGGTTGGGGGGTGGCGCATAGGCAGGCCTGGCTTGCCTTGCTCTGCATGGGACGGGAAAACAACTCCAGGTGACAGGCCTGGGCCTGAGGCAGGTGGGCAGTCCTTCCTCTAGCCTGTGCTGGGAACCTGGACTGCTGTGGATAGGCTGGGCTCAGAGAAGGGAGCCCTACTCTCTGGGCTGTAGCCTGGGACTTCGGGCCTGCCTCTCCTCCGCCCTCCAGGCACCTGGCTCTTCTTGGCAGGGACCCAGCTGGGCCCTCACGGGTCTGAGGTCTTTCTGCTGCCTCTCCTGGCAGCTCTGATAAGCTGATATGAATGCAGCCTTGTCCCTGTTGGCAGAGCCCCTCAGATGCCCAGACCGCCAGGGACACCATCTCCCTCCCAGCTTCTGAAAGATCCCACCGGCGGGAGAGGCATACCCTGCCTGTGCAAATGTCGTTCCTACCCTGCCAGTGAGTAAGGAATGTAAGTAAGTAAGTGAGAAAGCCCTGCCAGGGCTGTGGGAGCCCGGGTCTCAGAGCTCCTGGTGCTGGGCTCATTCCGAGGACCTCTCAGTGGCCGCAGGGTTCCCAAGGATGCTGTCTGTGGGCTGGCAGAGATAGGGAGGGGCGTGGGGTGCCCTGGTCGGCTCTATCAGTCAACTGGGGGATGGTGACGACAACCCAAAGAGCCCCCCCCCCCTGCTTTCTGGGGAAAGGACACTGAAGGACGGGGTGGCTGCTGTGGGCCCCGAGGGTAGGGGTGTGGTGGACAGAAGCTGCCTGCCCAGCATGCCAGCCTGTCCGTAACAGGGAACCCGGGCAACCATCCTCCTTCTGCCAGGCCTGGGCAGAAGGTGGAGATGCCAGAGAAGGGGAGGGGCCCTCACGGAGCCAAGCCCTCCTCTGGCCCACTTAGGAAAGCAGGGTCCACCCTGGCCACCCCCCGCAGTTGGCCAAGGGCGGCACCCAGTGAGGTCTTGCCAACTCCTTGTGAAGAGGATTGGAGCCATTCACAAAGGGCCTTCTTGCTGCCTTTCCAGAGGTTTCTTCGGATTGGGCCTCTACCCAGAAAGGCCTTTCTTCCAGAAAGGCAGAGCACAGGAGGGGAGTAGGAGGGGAGTCAGGAGAAGGGAGGATGTGGGCAGAGGGGAGTGGTCGAGAGGGGCAGGGAGGGAGATGGGGGGTGGGGGGAAGGAAGCGGCAAGCCAGCCAGATGCTGGGTTCATTTCAGCCTCTCAGAACAGCTCTGGGAGGTGTGTATTACCATCCCCATTTCACAGATGGAAACTGAGGCTTGCAGAGGTATGCTGACTTCCCTGACTCTGAAAATGACAAAGTATGGGTTCAAACCCATGAAGTGTGATTCCAAAAACCCAGCCAGGATAACGCAGAACCAGAAAGGTCCTGGCCCAGAGATGGTGCAGAAGTGCAGTGGTGTGGGCCACAGGGGGCACGGTAGCAGGTCCAGTCCATTTAGGGAGGTCCTGCCCCACCATGGGTGGCCCGGCATTTTGACCTCAGCCCTTCTGCACTCGCCACTGGCGGGGATCGGGGAAGGGCTGGGGTACTCACGAGCAGGACCGGGCCAGCTGGCAGAGGCCGCAGGCGGGTTTCCGCATCAGGTACATGGGCCAGCCGTAGGCAGCCAGGGCAAAGAGCATGTAATAGCAGACCTCCTTATAGCGGAGCATTTCGTGCTGGAAGAGATTCAGAGTAAGGTTACCTCCTGCCCTTCCCGCCTGTAGCCTCGGAGGCGATGGAGGCGGGAGCTGCCCTCCCCACAGGCAGCAGACCATGCCACCCCCACCCCTCGTGGAGGAGGGAACACGCCTCCAGATGATAATTGCATTTCCCTAATTATCTGCATGCAACCAGGGCATGAAACCTCCTGAGACCTGTCCTGTTGCTCCAATCTCAGAATTAATGATTTGGGGACAGAAAAACACTCAGAGCACTGGATCGATTTCCTTGCCGGTTTCCCAAGAAGGGGAGAGGGGGAGGTGAGAGCCACAATCACCCCGCCTTGGCCATCAGGCCCCGGGAAGGGCAATTGAACCCCAAGAGGTCTGGACCCTCCCCTCTGGAGCAGGATGCCCAGGCCAGAAGCAGCAGGGCCGGCCCTGAAGATGCAGACATGCTGGGGACCCAATCACCCCGGCCGTGCTCTGCACTCAGGGAGACCCTGGCTTGACTCAAGGGCGTCTGGGGCAGTCGGGATCATTCTGAGAAAGGCTCTGGTTTGAAAGCCGGCGTCTGAGGCCGGTGGCTGCTGTTATCAGCCAGACTGCCCAGGGAGGCAGTCAGGAGGCACACGTGTCCCAGGGAAGCCGCTTCTCCCCAGTCCTGGGCGCCCCAGGCACTGGGGGACTCCTGCACTTAGAGGGAATTAGTCACCTTGTAAAAGTTAAAGACGGTGATTAGTCATCTCGTGAAGTGAAATAAGCAGGACTTTAATCAGGGCCCAGAGGGATGGAACCGTCCCGGGCCGCTGGGTCTGCTCTTCAGGAAGGCGCAGAAGGAGGTAATTAACCTCTGGCTCACGCCTGGAGGGCGGGGCGCTGGCACCTGGGGGCTCGGCGGGGCCCCGCCCCCGCCCCGCCCCTCCGCAGGGGAGAGCGAGCCGGGCGGGCATCCCCGAAGGAGGCGGGGACCTGCAAGCCGGGGGGCCTGCTGTGGAGGGGCTGTTTGGAGAAGAGATGCAACCCTCGCCCGCTTTGGGGAGCGGGGCGGGGGGGGGGGGCGATGGAGAACCGGCGTTTCCAGGTGAGTCAGATGTGAAGGCCGAATCCTTTCTAACGCTGTCCTTACGGGCACCAGAGTTCACTCATCCCCCTCCCCACCAGGGCTCTCGCTGGAAGGCAGGCCCAGCACCGCTTCCGCTGCGGGAATAGGCTCAGCCGGGTCAGGGACTCGCTCAAGGTCACAGCCCCCGGCGGGGAGCCGCACAATAAACCTGTTTGCTCCCAGCGCAGGGGCCGCTCTCTGGCTGCAGTTCCAGCCCTGGGTGAGGGGCTCCCCTAGCCTAGGACCCGCCCCCCATTCACTGGGACACCCAACGCCAGAGTTTCCACTAAAGGCGCTTGAGAAGAGCTCCTGCTACTCAAAAAAAAAAAACACCCTTGGAAACCAAGTTTTACGTCTTGCTGCCTTTTATAACAATAACAACCACGGCAAAAATAACAGCAGCTCAGCCCCTGGAAGGACTTGACAATCTCAGGAGGCCAGGGCCAAACATTCTGAGCTCAGTGGAACCGATTCAGGGGGCTTGCCTGTAGAACCAGACAAATGTGGAGGGAGGCAGGTCAGGGTGCGCTTGGGAGGAAGGGGGCTGCTTGGAGGGCCGAGGTGGGACCCACAGCGGAGCAGGTGCAGCCGGTGCCTCAAGGGCCGCGGGCAGGTGGTCTGCTCGGGTCAGCCCAGCAGAGGGAGAGAGGGAGAGAGGGACCCGGGACGCGGTGGGGGTGGTCCTGACTCACCGAGTTCTTGAGGTCGAGGTACTTGGTGTTTCTGGTCACCGGCATGCCAGACAGGAAGGCCAGGATGTCGTTGTTGGCCTGCAAGACAGGCGCGTGAGGGTGGCTGCCCGGGCCCAGCCTGAGAAAGGGGTCCAGGCCCCGGCTCTGCACTCTGCCTGCCTCCCAAGGGCCTGAGAACCCAAAGAGGTGTGTGGTTTCTAGCTCTTCCACTACTGGGCCCGCTTTCCAAATCCGAGGTCTCCTCATATATCCAGTTGCTTCCCTTCCACCCAAAGCATCCATGCTAGGGGAGGGAGCTGGCCCAGGGCCAGGAGAAAACATTTTATACAAGATGCTGCGAGACCCTAGCTAGGACTGGCGAGTTGCGAGTTGCAGGTGGGGCGGGTGATGAGGCAAGCTGCGAAGGCTGGAGCACAGCGCTGGGTGGGTCATGGGGCCGCTGTGATTAGACGGTAGATGGGGGTAGACAGCCTCTGGGCCCTGCAGAAGGAAGCAGCTCGAGCAGGGGCCCTGGGCGGCTGGCTGAGGGTGAGCTGGGGAAGGGAGGGGAGCGTGGAACCTGGGGGCAGCAGGGACGACCTCGGCAGAGGGCACTGTAGGGACGTGATTCATGCGTGGGCTCACCTCGTCCAGCACGGCATTGCGCTTGGCCCGCTGCCGCTGCCGGAGCAGCACCAGGCCAGCGATGATGTCCGATGGCACGATGTCCAGGTCTCGGAAAAACTCGGCAAAGAGGTAGGCAATTTCCGAGTAGGCGTCCTACGTGGTCCGGGGAGGCGGCGGGGGGCGGTGGCAGGGAGCAGGAGAGAGGACAGAGGCCGGGCGTGAATGTCCGGGGATGGGCGTCCGCTCGGGGTCCCTCTGCAGGGACCCTTCTCTGGCCCCCCCTTCCCAGCCCTCCTGTCCTTGGCGCTCCTTCGGCACTCAGGCACCAGCCTGACACCCCCAAGCCATTTCCTGCTCCAGGACTAGGACCAAGGCCTGCAGGCCCGGCCTGTTTCTCCTTCCGCCCTTCTCTCCCTCCAGCAGAGGAGCCAAAATTGAGCTCCTGGCTGCTTTTCTCCACGCTGTTTCTTCCCGCCTCCCTCCAGCTGTGACCCTGAATGGCCCGCCAAGGGCCCTTTGGAGCCCAGGGTCTCAGGCCCCCTCCCCCTCCTGCCCACAGCTGGAGGCGCAGGGACCCCCACCATGTGCCTGGACAAGAGGCAGGACACCTGTGCTTGGGGCCGGGGCTTCGGGGGAGGTCGTGAGGACAGAGGCAGCCCCGCCAGTCCTGTGCAGAGGCCTGTCTGCCTCCCGACAAGTGGAAGCCTGGAACCTCTTCCCTAACCTGTCAGGAGAGGCTGTGGTGGGAACAGACTCATGGCAACCAGCTTTCTCCTGCTGGGTTTCACCCCTCAGTGTCTGGCACTTGTGAGAGAAGAAAAATCAAGGGCTGCAAACTCAAACGCCTAATGCAAGGGCCGAATCTAGAAATACTGAACTCGACACAAACGCCCCCGATTTTTAAATCCTGGCATCCAGTGCAAATGTTTTAGCAACACAGCATGAGCTGATCAAAACTCTGGGCGGGACCTGACCTGACCTGACCTGACCACCATCAGTGTCTGGTGGGACCCAGCTTCTGGGGACGCCCCCCTGCCTTTTTTGAGAAAAGACTTCAGCCTTTTCCCCAGGGTCCAACACCAGCCCCCAGTCTGCCTGCCAGGAGGGGTGGGTGTGCCCTGGATGAGACCCCGCCCAGACAGCCCCGTGGGGGGTGCTCCCCACCCACCAGGGAACCTCGGGGTGGGCGGGGCTCTCTTACACTCCATTACTCACTCTATGGTTCAGCAGGGGCTGCGGGTGGGTAGGAGCCACTGGAGGCTTTTCCGGTGGCTTCCATGGAGGGCACTCGCTGTCTGGCTCGGGCAGGAGTGGTCTCCTGACCTCACTGGCTCTGCCACTACCTAGCTGTGGGACGCTGAGCAAGTCACTCCACCTCTCTGGACCTCAGTTGCCTGATCTGCAAAATGAGGGGTGGGGCTAGATGACCCCTAAGGACCCTGCCAGCACTGCAGGGGGTGCTCCACTGGGGGGCGCTCCACGGAGGGCTCCCCAGGGCCTGCCTCCCCTCCCCCACCCGGGGGCCACCCACTGCTGACCCACCTTCCTTCTGCAGCGCCCTAGTGGGTGCGCAGGACAGCGAGGGCCACACTGACCACATGGCTGCTGCTCTTACAGGACTTGCAGCTGGATGTGGTTTAGTCTGACTGTTTTGTGACCCCATAGACTGTAGCCCGCCAGGCTCCTCTGTCCATGGGATTCTCTAGGCAAGAACACTGGAGTGGGTTGCCATGCCCTCCTCCAGGGGATCTTCCCGACCCAGGGATCGAACCCATGTCCCTTGCATTGGCAGGCGGTTTCTTTACCACTGAGCCACCAGAGAAGCCCTTGTGGCTGGTGAGATGCTGTTTGCTTTGCTTCGTCTTCAGGTCACCCTGATACTTGAGTACCTCTTCTCCTAGACTCATCTCTAAGTTCCAAGGGGGTCAATAAAAGGTCTTCCCATTTTTCTGTCCCTTGACAAAGGAAGGGAAGGGCTGTTTCACACGTAGGAGGGAGTCGGGCGGTGAAGAACAACAGGTCCTCTGAGGAGCAGGCTGTAACCTCCGGTCCTGCTCGAAGCCCAGCCCCACCCCACCCGGCAGAGACAAGGACCTGAGCCCCGGGGCGGCGACTTCCCAGTACTTACTGACTGGGAGTCCTTCGTCCGAGTGCAGCAGAGGAACACTTTGAGCCGACGTGACCAGCTGGTGGCCTGACCCTCTTCTAAGCGGTGCCTGCAGTGGGGGAGAGTTGGTATGTGTGAGGTCAGAGGGCTGGACCAGAAGAGCTAGGCCTAGATGTTACAGTAACAGAGCAGCCTGTTCCCAGGACCCCAGCAAAGGGCTCCCCGGCAGGAGGGTCTGGGGGGGCAACTGGGCCCGGTCAGAGCCGGATGGCCAGTGAGCTGTCGGCCTGCAGGGCTCTCACTGAGGAGCTCCTGCTGGCCTACGATGGCGCGCTGCTGGCCAGGGCCGGGGCCTGGGCTTCTGGCACAGGGGCACCAGCACACCCGGGGGGCTTCGGAGCTGGGAGCCCGAACTGGGGGCCGCCCGGAAACCCACTCCAAAAGCTCTAACCAAGGGCCCTGAGAGACGGTGGCAGGGTGCTGGGCCTCCCTGCTGATTTGTTCCACGTTGGGAGCAGACCTGCTGGCCAGACCTGTTCCCCTCTCAGAAAGGATTTCTCTCATCTGGTACTTGGGGAAGCTTAAAGGGCTGAATGAGGTTCAGCATGCTGCAGTGCCTTGGATCCATTATCTTACAAGGGAGAGGGCCCCTGCCCTTCCCCCGCCTCCACCCCCAGCCCCAGTGGGTATGGCTGCTTTGATGGGGCGGCAGGGTACCCAGGAGTCTGCACTCAAAGCGAGAATGATTGGCCGGTTATCCACGGAGACCATTCCAACACTGAGTGTCCAGAGGTCGGTGTGTGTTTTGAGCATAAAGATCACAGATCCAACATTAAAAATGTAAATTTCCAGACTGAGCAAGAGGGGCTGGCTGGCTTTTGTGACATGCGCCCTCCCCGCCAGCCCTTTCAGAGCCTGGTGCTGGGTGGTCAGGAGGGGCAGGCTCTGAATGACCCTGGATGCCTGCAAGGCACTTAGCATCCATCAGGAGTGACAGGCCAGGCGGTCGCTGCCTCCGCCTCCTCTCTGCAGCTAACAGCCGCTTCCTGCTCCCAATCTTGGTGCCACAGCGTTATGGGCCACAAGGTCAGGGGAAGCCACAGCGCCGTCAGAGCGACAGGACGGGGTTAGGAAACAGGGCAAGGGACTTGCTGTTTCTGGAACCTGCCAGCCCTAAGGGACTTGGGCAGCCTCATATCCTAAGCCAAAGTCCCCCCTACTGGGGGCTGGATGAAGGGACAGCATGCCGGCTAAGCTAAGTTCCCAGAGCATCACATTCTTTAACTCTTTCTAACCAAACTGGCGGTCAAACATTCAAAGACAATTTCCTCCCTTCCCTCTGGCAGATTAAGCCCTGTATACTATATTGCAGTACCCTTTATGCCCACCAGGGGGTAGATGGCGCCAATGACAAGTTTGGCCTAATACATCCTTTGGGCTACAGAGACCAAGACACTCGGTCTGGACAGAAAGTTCGTGGACCTGGCACCCCTCTGCCCTGGGGCTCACTAAAGCGAAGGGAGGGCAGGCACTCTTGCAGAGATCCAAGGTCAGGCCCCCAAGGAGCAGTGGTGGGAAGAACCCATCTCAAATCCTACCAGATTTCACCGGAAGAAGAAAGGACCCAGGACTTGAGCAGTAACCTAACTCCCAGAAACTAAAATAACCCACCAGTGTGGCAGCAGCATGACTTGTGCACAAAACCAAACCTGGAAGCGGATGAAGGGTCAGCAGGCTTGAAAAATGTCCTTGTTAAGAAAAACTTTCTGTTGGTCTAAGAGCAGAGTGAGGGGGCCGGGGGAAGAGCAGGAGAGGTGGTCACAGTAACGCAGTCGTGGACTGGGCTGCCCTCTCCAGCCCATCTGAGAGCTGGAGAAACTGCAACAGGTGGGGGTCTAGGAGCTTGAGGCCTCTTACAACCCGAACAGGGTCCAGAAGCGCTGGAAGACTTACTAATTCAGATGACAGCCACCGCCAACACCCCCTCCCTCCCCCACCCCCACCGTAAAGGCATTGGCTGCCCTGGGCCCCAAAGGCAATTATCCAGAGTAGGGGAGGGGAATTTTTTTCTCCCCCCAGGGCCCCAGGAGTCCAGAAACCAGGTCAGGTGGGGGCATGTGCTCAGAATGAGCAAAATGGGACGGGTGGTGGTGGCCAGCTGCACTGCCGGGATGAACAGCGGGCTCTGGGGCCTTGGCTCCCAGACCTGGCATTTGGGGCTGGGAGGTGGCCAGTCCAGACACGGGTGTGGCTCTGGCTGCAGGGCCCAGCTGACGTGGAGGGCCCAGGGGGGCTGGACGGAGGGACATGGGAGGGTGGGGTGGGGGCCCGGGCAACCCGTTCCCCTGGGTGAGGGCTCCCAACCTTGCTGCCCTGGGCTGGGGGTGGAGTGCCAGCTCCACTCCCCCACCAACCTGACCCAGGCATGTGGCCTGCCCTCCCTGGGACTCGGACCGCTCATCTGTAGAATGGGTCTCACAGCCGCACCAGGGTTGGCAAAGGGATGAAACGGACGACCGTGGAAGTGCAGGACCTAACCTGGGACAGAAGCTCGATGAACGGGAGCCGCTGTGGCCTGCCCTGAAAGCCTCTCTGCTCTTTTTCTTTCAATAAACAGGAACTCTGTGACCGTCCTGGACACCCTGCCTCATTTTCTCTGCCTCCCTCCTTCTCCAAAGCACTGTACAAAACATCCCCCCACTGCAAGAAGCCTTTTGCCTTGGTTAACCTCCTCTAGCCCCCTTAATCCTAGAGGCAGCCTCGCCTAGTGGTTAAGAGTCAGGGATCTAAGGCCAGACTGTCTGAGCTTGATCCCAGCCCCACTGTTTGCCAGCTGTGCAACCTCAGGCAAGTCACATAACCTCTCTGTGCCCGTTTCCTCATCTGTATTATGGGGATGACATGAACAGCATACGTGCACCTCTGGGCTTGCTTGTCCGAGTGCTTCCTACTATTTCTGTCATGTTTTCAGTCCCGAAGATGATCTGAGCACGGAGCTCCCGTGAGCGCCCGTGTTCATTACTCTGATAAACCTCACAGCAGCTGCATGAGGCAGAAATGATTGCGTTCCCACTTTACAGACCAGGAAACTGAGGTAAGCCTTGGGCCAGCACTTGGGACTCACACAGGTTGAGATGGAGTGAGGGAGGCGCAGGGCCAGCCTCTGTCTTCCCCAGGGTCAGCAAGTCCCACCCTCCTGCCCAGCCCACTGACCGCAGGTTGTAGGTCCGCAGGTTACGCTGCCTCCTCTTGGTGGCCCTCAGCTTGACGAAGGTGCGGCCGGTGGGGTCGAAGACGCAGAGGACCGTGATGCACACACTCAGGATGACCACCCAGTTGCAGACGACCATCCCTGCGGAGGAGGGGTGGGAAGCCAAGGAGCATGGCACTGGGGACACCTCTCTGAAAGAAAGGGGCACTGGGGCCTCCCTACCTCAAAATGCTTCTGGGGCCCAACAGCCAGACTCCAAAGGCCCCAGCCCCAACCTCCAGCTACATGGCCATCACCTGGCTGAACTGTGACCACCCTCCACCCACCGCCCCCATCCTTGGCACAGAGCAGACGGCTATGTGGGTTTCCAGAGCCCTGGTCAGCTCTGTGCCTTCTGCTGTGCACCCCCAGACCAGGGCCCCCAAGTGGGGAGACAGCAGACCTCAGGATGAAGGCTACAGCCTCGCCCAGCCAATCCGTCAGCCGAGCTCACAGACACTGTTTCAAGGTGTCTCAAGGTGCCTGAGCTTATTGCCCTCTAACCTGGCCCCCGGACCCCCGATCCCAAGGTTAGAGTTAGGGCTGGCTGTGTCCCCTCCACCTCAGGGTTGCATGAGTGCTCAGTCACTCGTGACTCTTTTGAGATCCCTTGGACTGTAGCCCGCCAGGCTCCTTTGTCCATGGAATACGTTGCTGTTTAGTCACTTCAGTCGTGTCTGAGTCTTTGAGACCCCATGGACTACAGCCAGGCTTCTCTGTCCATGGGATTTCCCAGGCAAAAATAATGGAGTGGGTTGCCATTTCCTGCTCCAAGAGATCTTCCCGACCCAGGGATCAAACCCATGTCTTCTGCAGTGGCAGGTGGATTCTTTTACCACTGAACCATTGGGGAAGCCCCCAACCCAGGGTTAAGGATGCTATATCCCCTCCACCCCAGGACTGCTCTCTCTAACCTGGCCCGGCCCTTCCACCCCAGGCCCGACCAACATACCGAGCGTGACGTTCTTGGCAGTGAGGTCGTTGCAGGAGGTGTAGTACTGGGTGAGCCAGACAATACCCACGATGGCATAGATGAACTCGATCACCAGGATGGCTGCAAGCAGAGCAGGGTCCTGGCTGAAGGACAGGGAGGCCCTGGAACCTGGGCCCGGCTCCTTGGCAGCAAACCACCCACTGCCCCGCTCTCAGGCCTCGAGGTGCAGAGGCCCAGGGAGTGTGGCCATCCCATCCCCTGCTCTGGCTCATGTGCCCTCAGCCCTGACACTCCCCTGAAAAGGTAACTGCAAAGGTGGATGATGAAGAGGCATTTCCCTGCTCTTTCAGGAATTAGAATTGTATCAGTGAACTCTGGGATCAGATGTGGGGCTTCCTTGGTGGCTCAGTGGTAAAGAATCTGCCTGCAATGCAGGAGACCCAGGTTTGATCCCTGGACTGGGAAGACCCCCTGGAAGAGGAAATGGCAACCCACTCCAGTACTCTTGCCTGGAGAATCCCATGGACAGAAGAGCCTGGCAGGCTACAGTCCATGGAGTCGCAAAGAGTCGGACACAACTGAGTGACTAATACTGTATCTTAGGTAAGTTACCTAATCTCTCTGAGCCTCCACTTCCTCCTCTGTAAAATGGGAGTGATGAGGTCCACAGTTCATGGCTGTGAGAACTAGAGGACAGGGTGTTCATTTCACGGAAATGGCTGTTCCTGGGGAGGTGGCCTCCAGCACTTGAGGCAACAAGAGGAAAGGGGCGAACCAGCTGCTCAAGGTGCCCTGTCCAGGGCTGAGCCCAGGGCTGACATGGGGTTGGGTGTAGGGAGCAGGGGGGAGAACGGACGCCAGCCCCCACCACCCCAGGGACAGCACTGGAAGCACCAGCTCCACAGGCAGCCCCTTGTGGCAGCCAAGAGTCCAGGTTTTGGAGTCTGACAGCCTGGGTTCAAATCTCAACTCTGACACTGGCACACTTGTTAGCTGTGTGACCTTAAGGGAGCTAATTAACCGCCCTGGGCCCCAGATTCTTCATCTGCAAAATGAGACCAACAAAGGGCTCCTCCCTGAGTTAACACAGGAAGAGGGCTAAGCTCAGGCCATGGGAGCACAAGAGTGTCCAGCAGGAGTGACCGGGGGAGGCGGCGGAACCCGAGTCCAGGAGGAGGAGACAGGTGTGTCCTCAGGGAGCTGGTCGAGGCTCCTGAGGGCCCCCCTCCCAGGACGAGGAGGAGGGGCTGTTTGGGGAAGGATCAAGAAGCGACTGAAGAGACACACACAGCCTAGACAGAACAGGGGTCGGCAAGCTTTTTCCATAAAGGGCCAGAGAGTAAATATTTCAGACCTTGTGGGTCATACTCTCCATCACAATGACTCAGCTCTGCCATGGTTGTGCAGAAGCAGCCAGAGGTGGGGAGTACTAAAGGAGTTGAGTGTGGCTGGGTTCCAATAAAACTTTATTAAAAAAAAAAAAAGACAGCGGGCAGGATGTGGCCCTCAGGCTGCAGTCTGCCCATCCCTGGTCCAGAAGTGGGTGCAGGGAGTCTGCCTGTTTGCGGCTGGCCCTCGGTGCTGGCTGAATGACTGTTAGGCACAGGAGGGGGGTGGGGGTGAGGAGGGCCGGAGTAGCCCCCGCCCACGGCGGGTGGCCCTTACCCAGGCGCACGTAGAGCACGTACTGCATGGATTCACGGGGCTCTGTGTAGAGGATGCCGCCGCGCATGCTCAGCCAGATGATGGCCATCTCAGCGATCATGCAGCTCAGTAAAATGCCCAGGTAGCCGCGGCCGTGGTCCACCAGGTTCAGGGAGCAGGCCTCGTCCGGGTTGTAGACCAGGCCGAAGAGCACCACGGACAGGATCACAAACCTGGGGGAATGTGTACATTAGAGGGGCTAGGCGGCCCCTGGCAGGCAGGCCCGCCCAGCCTGGACTCCAGGATGAAGGGCTTAACTGATCTGGGCAGGGACCACTGTCCGCCAGGCAGCAGGGCCCTCTGAGGACACAGGCGCCCAGGGACAGGGCAGTGGGAGCAGGGAGCCCACAGCTCCCAGAGTGGCCAGGCAGGGTCTCTGGGCTCTGCGCGGGTATTGCCCTAAAGGGGGTGGATGTTTCAGCGCTGACTCCTGGGACAGGGTCAGGACAGAGGGTCAGAAGGCCTCCCCCAGGCCTGTGACTCCCCCACCCCCAGGCCTGTGCATGGCCCTGAGACTCACCAGGTGGTATGCAGCAGGAAGAGGAAGATGGCTGGCAGGACGAGGTCATCGCTGCCCACAGACCAGCGCCGCCGGAACACCACGATCCCAGGCATGGCTGGCAGCTCTGCGGAGGCTCAGCGGGCCTGGCGCTCACCTCCTGAAACAGAGCAGACAACCCCCAGGTTGCCCGGGCCGCGGTCGCATCCAGGACCACTGTGCTCCTGGCCAGGCAGGCCCAGCAGCAGGGGCATCCTCCTAGTACAACATCCCCAGGGCTTCAGTCCCATCCCTGGGCAGGACCCACCCCCCACCGTATCCATCCTCCTGGAGCCAGTATGGAAAACCGCAGTAGCCAGACACTGGCTTCAGTCTAACCGCCGAGGACTTGCTTGTCCCCAAGAGTGGCACAGGCCCCTTGAGATCAGCTCAGCCTGGGGTTACCCCAACAGGAACTGCTAAGCTCCACTAAAGACCTGGGCTTATTCCTGCCCCCCTCCAAGGGATCAGGGGACCCCCACCCACCTATCCAGTGCATGCAGTCCTTGGTGTGGGGTGGGGGGTTCCCAGCCCAAGCCTGAGCCTGTCTCCCGGCATCAGCCAAGCCAGGGAGGTGGAAGGCTGAAGGCGCTGGGGAAGGTGGGGGTGAGCGCATGCGTGGGGCTGGCACTCATGGAGGATGGGAGCACCCAGCACATAGTAGGTGCTCAGTAAATATCTGTTGAGTGAGGTCTGTTTCGTGCTTTGCTAGAATGCCAGGAGGACACTCTATGACCTGATTTTGCACCCATCAGACAGAATCCCCAATCACAGCGACGCCCCTTGGTAGGGAAGGACCTGGTTGAGACGGGGGGCGGGTCAGGAGTGTCACCGGGGTGCCCAGCTTCTCTGCTGGAAGGGCAGTGGGTGAGCCCTGGGGGTATCCCATCCTCCTGGCAGCCACCCTCCACCCTCCACGCTCCACCTGAGCCATGCAGTCTCTACTGCCTGGATCCCAACTCTCCGAAGTAGCTGAATTCAAATTAGCCGCAGGGAAGCGTGGGGAGAAGGGCCCAGGAGTTCGGTCCTCCCCTCCCAAGAGCCCCAGGAACCAGGGCAGTGGCGCAGGCCACTGGCTCCCCACAGGGGGCTGGTGGGGAGACACCGGGGAGGGGCTCAGGGTAGCCCCGCGCTCAACTCAACAGAGAAACCCCAGCGACCGGAGACTGGGCGCTGGTGGGCCGCTGCTCCCAGGCTGGCAGAGGCTTACATGGCACCTGGTCCTGGCTGGGTGGCAAGTCCTCCTCTCCCCGGTGACGGCTCCAGGGAAGAAGAGCGTCCGTGGAGACCAGCATCACTCAGCAAGTGGCCAAGTCTCCCCAGCCGGTGGGCACGGCCCTCAGGGTGGGCTAGGGAGTGTGGGGCCAGGTGGCCGGCCCAGCACATCCGGCCCGGCCGGTCTTCGTCGCCCTCTCCCGGGTGCAGCCGCTTCATCCGGCCGCTGCCAGGCTGCTCTCAGCGAGGTGGCGGCCTGGCGGGCGGGCGGGCTAGACTGCCGGGGTCGTGCCTACTCCTCCCCCCACCCTCAGGAAGTGACATCATCCCACTCTCTCCAAGGAGGAGTCGGAGCGCGGAGCGCGGATTCTGGGAAGCGGGAGAAGGATGGAGAGCCCGGCGCAGCGTGGCGGGGCGTACGGGGGCGGGGGTCTGGGGCCGCGGGAGGCCGGGGCTTCCAGTTGCCTGTCGGGGACGAGGGGCTGACCGCGCCGCCGGCTTCGGTTGGAAGGGACGGGGCGGGCGGGGTGGGAGGCGCTGGGACGCCGTGGGCGGCGGCCGGGCTGGGGAGGACGGAGCTGCCAACAGCTGGGATGGCAGCCGCCAGCCCCTCCTCGACGCCAGGTGGCCCCCGGAGGGCGAGGAGCCGCGTGGGGCTGGGCCCGGGGGGTCCCTCACACACACACATGTGAAACCACTGCGAGGTCCCTGCAGGTGCAGCAGCCACTCTCAGCAAGCCAGACCCCAGCAGAGGAAGGGGAGGGCTGTCCCAGAGGGGCTGGCAGGCGCGGGCTGCCCTGCCGGGAGCCCAGGACGTCTCGCTTTCAGGGGTACACCCAGTGAACCCTTCTCACCCGCCTTCTCTCCCAGCCCTTCACCTCTTAAAGAGTCTAGAATGGCTCTGGTATAAGTGGGTGGGCGGGGAGCCTGGCACCCGTGTAGAGGGGGCCGAAGATCTGTCAAGACCCCTGTAGTGATACGAAGAGTGGCAGCCTCTGCCCCCCCAGCTCGGTGAGGGGAGGAGTGCCCAGCTGACCGCCCGCTGTAGGCACTGACTAGGTCACACCTAGGTCACATGGCAGGGTGGCTGCGGGCTGACCCCCCCGGGGTGCCGGGTAACAGGTCTGGGGACCACACCCCACAACCTCCGGGGCCAGCTCGCCACTGCAGAATCCCAGGTCCAGGGCTGCCTGGCTCCTGACCCTGGTTCCATCACCCACTCACGGTATGACTTACTAGTTGTGCCTCAGTTTCCCCATCTGTAAATATGGCAGGGTGGCTGCGGGCTGACCCCCCCGGGGTGCCGGGTAACAGGTCTGGGGACCACACCCCACAACCTCCGGGGCCAGCTTGCCACTGCAGAATCCCAGGTCCAGGGCTGCCTGGCTCCCGACCCTGGTTCCATCACCCACTCACGGTATGACTTACTAGTTGTGCCTCAGTTTCCCCATCTGTAAAATGTCGATGGTCCCCACCTGCTAAGGGTCTGGTGCGGACCATACGAGAGGCCTTGGCAGCGCTGGAAGAAGCCAGCGGCAGTTTTAGCTCAGGAGGGCGAAGCAGAGAGAGAGCGTGTGAACCGGGTGGACGAGCTGTCCCTCCCCTGCTTGGGCTAGCGGATTGTCCAGCTGGTCACCACCAGGTCATGGGGGGTGAGGGGGGTGATGACAGGGCCTGTGCTGCTGTTGGGGGTGGGGGGAGGATGGACCCCGCTACTTCATGCGGATTCATAAATCTCAGGACTGCTATTTTTAAGGGCCTGAAAGACGCCCTTTCTCTCGAGACCCCAGCCCTTCACAATGGGGGCCTGTTCCCCTGCTGGGGATGTGATTTCATCTGGAGGAAATGTCTCAGGATGGGGGAGGGCAGAGGCTACTTCCTGGTCTGGGGAGGCCACAAAGCATCTCCTCTGGCTCTCCTCCCCCAGGCCTCAGGGGCCTCAATGGGGCAGGGGGCATCCAGACCAGGGGCACTTCCAGGGGAGGGGCAGTGCCCCCTTCAGGGGGTGCAGAACAGAAGCATTGCTGGGAGCCCCCTATGCTGCTGGCTGGACATCCCCCCCACTGCCCAGGCAGGTGTGAACACCCAGGACGCTCCCCACACATGGGTGGAATGACGAGGGGCACTCTGAGGCCCTTTCTTCCTCCACTCACAAAGCCCAGTTTCCTTGATGGGGATTCAGGCCTTTGATTTAAGTATGAACCATCCTCCGAGTTCCTCTTTCTAAAAATGCTAAACTGTTTTTCAAAAACACACAGACTGACCCTTCCTTTAAAAACCGTCCATGGCTCCAGGGATCAGCAGGATAAAGTCCAAGCCTATCAGGCAGCACCTAAGGGCCGCAGCAGCTGGCAGGCAGGCTGTGCAGCCTTGGGCAGGGGCCTTGCCCTCTCTGAGTCGTGGAGCAGGAAGTCACTCCCCAACTCCTAGGGATCCGAGGCACAGACAGGCACAGGGCCACCTTCTGGCTGGGGAGGCACTCCAGTGCCCCCTCACACTCCCTCACTCTCCTTCCCCAACCCCCAAACTTGTTGCTCCCTTAAAAACACCTCATTGGAATCTGCTTTGTTTATCCTAGTTCCTCTGGCAGGCAAAATCCTACTCATCTTTGTAAGCCAACCAAAAGCCAGCCCTCTTTGAAACCCTCCCTGATGGCACCCCCCCCACCCCTTTTCATGCAGAACAAGACACTCCCTTATGGGAACCCCTCATCTCAATACCCTGGGCATACTGGCTTACACGTGCTGATTCCTTCTTGCCCATCCCGGTCATGCTCAACGGAGAGTCCCGGGGTGGGGGGGTGGGGCCTGGCAGCACTGCTCTCCTTCACACGCCTACGCCCCCCGCCCCCAGCTCTTGCCCCTGGAGTGTGAACACAGCCCCTCTCCCCCTGGGCAGCCCTGGTCCTTCCAAACCACTGCTCCATCCTCCTGAAGCAGCTGCCATAAGGGTAGGAGCATGACTCCTGCCCCTCTTAGCTCAAATCCTTCACTTTGGAGGAAATGTCCCTCCCCAGCACCCCCACCCTGATCGCTCTCAGAAGACCACCCTCTCCTCTGGCTATCTTAACTATTCTAGGGCTTCCGTTTCTTCAGCTGCAAAAGGGGGACAACCGCAGCCCCCAGAAGGCTGCAGCGAGAGGGCTGGGATGAGGTCACAGAGGTCTGCATGGGTCCTGGCAGAGCCCGGGCTCCACTCGTGGGTGGGTGGGGGGATCGTATCAACAGGGCTTCTGGGGGTTTCCTGGCAGGGTGACCTGTGACAGGTGCAGGGTCTGGGCAGGTGTTACTGGGATGTCCCTGATCAGCTCTAACTGATCAGAAATGGCTGGGCTTAACTGACCTGAATCCTAACAGGGTCCCCTGCCCTGCCATGGGCTTTGGGGCGCTGCTATATAGAGATGGGGCTGGGCCTCATCCCCTGACCCGAAGGTCCCCTTGGGCTCGGCCCTGGGGGCAGGCTTCAGGGAGAAGTGCCCCTCAGCAGTGGGTCCTAGCTGATGGGGTGCTGAGAGCTCCAGGGGGAGGGACCAGGGCACGGAGAATTCCAGCTCGAGCTGGTGGGAGCTAGCCTGCAGTGGGGCCAGGGGCCAGAGTCAGGCTCAACCACAGGGGACAGGATGATGTGCTGTGGGAGGCCCGTCCAGCAGCCTCTAGGTCAGCCCATGAGATTTCCCACCTAGCAGAGGTGGCCTCGGGCATCTGGACCCAAGGATGGGCTGGAAGTTGAACCTGAAGGAAGGGATGACAGCCAGGTCCAGGCCACTAGGATACATCTGACATCAGCTGAGCACCTTCCATGTTCTGAGTCCCGGACGAATTGCCCGCCATCCTCACAACAGCGATGCAGGGTGACAGCCTCACTCTCACTCCACATATGTCTGGGAGTGAGACATATGTGCTCTGCACTTCCTGGCTGTGTGACCTTGGATAAGTTACTTAACCTCTCTGTGCCATGGTTCCTTATTTCTAAAATGGGGCGAAGAACAGTAGCTACCTCAGAACTGTCACAAGGGTTACATGAGTCGCAGACACTTAAGCCAGCACCTGTCACAGATGTTTAGCGAACATGGCTCTTCCGCTCATATTTTCATTGAAAATGAGGAGGCTGAGGCTCAGAGACCCTGCCCCACACCTTCTGAGGAGCAGGAGGCTGGGCAGGCAAGAGACTAGCGTCCTTCCTCCTGCCATCCAAAGCCCACACCCACTGCAGGAATGTCACGCTTAGAGGGGATCCTGGAAACTGTCCTGGGGCCCCCATTTATGGGTGAGGAAACACGTTCAGGAAGGCCCCAGAGGCTCCGAGCTTTCCCATTATGTCCCTCCCAGCGGGAGCCGGACATGCAGCCAGAGTCTTTGAGCCGGCCCGGCCCTTCCCTGCCACACAGCACACGCCTTCTCCAACTCCTGAGAGCTGCTCCCATTAGGAGAGTGTCGCCCCAGGGAGCCTGGGCTGAGATCCTCTCTCACACTCTGGATACAGAACCCTCTTGGAAGCCAGCAACATTCACATGAGCTCCCTTGCTGGAGATCAACCTGCAAGAAGGCATCAATCACTTGAGTAGCTTCAAGCAGAGTCGTCGGCGGCTAGCTCTCCACCGCCCGGTGGGTGGGGTCCCCGCGGCTCTGCAGCTCAGCTGACAAAGCAGAGGAGGAGACCTCAGCCCTGAGCCCACCTTCCCTGGGTCCTGAACAGCCCTGCTGGTTGAGGCTGGTGATCGGGCCAGGTCCAGCCACGCTCCAGAGCTGCCAGTCCCAGACCACGGGCAGTGTCCCCAGGACAGAAAGTCACTGCCCCTCCAGACCTCAATTACCTCTTCTGAAGAATGAGGAGCCTGGACTAAGGGGAGGCTGATGTTTTTGTATTTGTTAACATTTATTTGCATCCAAGGCTGCATGTACCTATATAGGAACTCAAAACAATGAAAAGGTGGAATATAAATTTAAAAACAAACTTGAGAACAAAAAGTAAGTAAATTAAAATAGAAGGCTGGGGAAATCATCATACATGTACAAGACATAAAGCCCATCATAGGAGCTGCATGTAAAACTAGCATTAGCCTCCATGCTGCCTGTGGCCAAA